GAGAGTGCGTTGAAGAGGGTGCGAGGAGAGAGGCGATGCGGGCGTTGCAACCAGACTGGACATAACGTTCGTACCTGCGCGGTTGAGATAGATAGTGCAAGTGATAGCGGCGATTCTGATAATTAATTTAGTATATCGTAATAACTATGCAATTCATCAATTATGGATTTATATTGTCAATTGTGATCATCCATTTTCTAATCGTATTAGAGTACTGAGGCACTGGAGGTAGAGAAGGGAGTTCTAAGTTTAAAGCTTCGCAACGCTAACATCATCATATGCAGAGACACCAAGCATACTACGAACAATTTTCTTGATGCTACTTGCCCCAGCCAATGTCATGGTCCTTGTGAGTTCTCTTTCCAAAATATCCAGTATAGTCTTGACGCCCTTTCGGCCGTCATAAGCTAAGCCCCACAAGACAGGACCTCCAACAAAGACTAGATCTGCGCCGAGGACCAAGGCTTTGAAGACGTCGCCCCCCCTGCGAATACCTCCGTCCAACATAATGGGGATTCTTCCTCGAACCGCGTTGACAACCTCGCCGAGAACTTCCAAGGTGGAGGGGACTCCATCAAGTTGCCGACCGCCGTGATTACTCACAACGATTGCATCAGCTCCAGCCTGCATTGTTAACTCAGCGTCTTCGCCGGTCATGACGCCTTTCACAACCAGCTTCATCTTGGTCTGAGATCGTAGCCACGGAACGAATTCGGACCACTGTAGGCTGGCATCGACGAGAAAGTCGAATTTTTCTTCTTGTACACGTCTTGCTTCAGCTGCCGTTCTTGCATTGAGCAAAAGTCTTCCTTGAGAAACGGTGCCAGCTTTCCGACTAGAAGTGTTGCACATGGTAAGATGTTTGGGCAGCTCAAGGGGATGGCGTCTCTCGTGCAGTCTATTACCAAGCACTGGCGTATCGATTGTTAAAACCAAAGCTTCAAAGCCTGTCTTTTCTGCCTGTTGAACGAGGGCTGCTGTAGTGGCACGAGACCCCAGAGAGTAAAGCTGGAACCAGGGTTTGGGGTAGCTGTCATCACGAGGCGGCAAGGATTGCATGACATCCTCCAGAGATGTCGTCGCATTTGAGGAAAGAGTGAAATCCGTACCCATGTCGAAACTGGCGGCGGACGAATCCAATTCCCCTCCATTGCTGGCAAATCGATAATATGCGCTGGGTGCAAGTGCTATTGGGATGTTGTAACGTTTTCCGAAGATGGACGTTGTCGTGTCTAGGGCAGAAACGTTTCTGAGCATCCTTGGTCGCAGCAGCAATCTTGTCAAGAGAGCGTAAGTAAGTCGATGTTTTTGAGGTATGATTAATTTCATCTCACCTTTTGTATATGTCTTCGTTTCTGGAGACGGTCCAATTGTCGTCTGCTCCAGTTTCCAGATATTCCCAAACATCATCCGGGAGTTTGATCTTAGCAATCTCTTTCACATCTGCGAGTGTGTACGGTGTAGGGACATCCTTAGGGGACATAACAGTAGCTGACTTGTCGAGTTTGTTCAATCCGTCCAAAAAGCACTGTCTTCGCGTGCGGTTGACAATGAGTTTTGTATCGCAACATGGCTATATACGAGAAACTGTTCATGTCGTGTATATGATCACCGTATGGGCTACAAGCCAGAGAATTTTCGTGCGCTCGCTAGCAGTGAACAGCTGTTGGCAATAAGCTCCGCCCGCACCTCCGCCGCAATCAATTCCACCGGACGTGGTAACTTGGCTTCGTCGGAGCTCCGAAAATCGCAAACGCACGTCTTTCCTTGTTTCGCCCCGAAAGCTCGGACCATAGTCTACGTAGAGTAAGGAACTACGATCACCCTATGGAGAGGTAGTCTCACAAGGGCGGTGCATACTCAGTAGTCTCTCGAACCAGCCGCTGACACCGATACGCGCTGGACCCTAGGCATCTGCCAGTGATACGGACCGGAGAGTGGGCCCGTCTTGGACCTTCAAGTAGAAATGCAACTCCAGAGAATGGTTCCCTCTTCGTCTTAATCCGTAAATTCGTAATCAGGTTGTCAGGCTCAGCCAGCTGCGCAACGCCATCATGTCCCCTCACAAAACCGACAAGTCCCTCGATTTTCACGCTTACACCAGTGCAGATGCCATAGCCGATGAGGAGAGGTACTCGGCTCATAACTACGTGCCCCTCCCTGTCGTCTTTGCTCGTGCCCAGGGTGTCAATGTTTGGGATCCTGAAGACAAGCACTACTACGACTTCCTGTCAGGTTACAGTGTAGTGAATCAAGGCCATTTCCACCCTGAACTCGTCAAAGCCCTTGTCAACAGGCTGGTAGATTGACGCTCAGTTCTCGTGGCTTCTACAACGACGTCTTCCCACAGTGGGCGAAACTAGTCAACAGAGTCTTCAGTTATGACATGGTTCTCCCGATGTGTACTGGAGCTGAAGCAGTCGAAACTGCAATCAAGATTGCCCGGAAGTAGGCATACAAGGTCAAAGGTGTTGCACAGGATGAAGCATATATCTTTGGCGCATCTGAAAATTTCCACGGGCGTACAGTAAGTACCACGGCTCGTAAAGGATCTGCAGTATACTGAGTTTGCATCAACAGATGACCGCAATCACGCTCTCGGTCGATCCTCTGTCAAGAACAAACTATGACCCCCATGTGCCCAGAGTTGGTGCATGCAACCCGACGACTCGCAAAGTCATCCGGTACAACAACATTAATGACCTTAGGGACGTTCATGAGGAATACGGCCACCAGACGGCGGCATTCATCTGTGAGCCCATACAAGGAGAAGCGGGAGTCGTCGTTCCCGACGATGAGTATCTGGTTCAGGTGTCAGCTCTCTGCAAGAAACATAATGTCCTTTTTATCTGCGACGAAATCCAGACAGGTATAAGACGTACTGGAAGGATGCTCTGTCATCAGTGGATAGGTATCAAGCCAGATCTTGTGACCCTGGGCAAGGCTCTTTCAGGAAGCATGTATCCAGTCAACTGCGTCCTTGGTCAGGCCGAGGTCATGTCAGTGATCGAACCCGGAACTCATGGATCTACCTTTGGAGGTAATCCTCTAGGTTGTGCTGTGTCTATCCGTGCCCTTGAGCTTATCTAGGAGGAGGACCTCATTGCCAAAGCCGATCATTTGGGGCAAATCTTCAGAGAGGAACTTCAAGCGATGGACACAGACGTTTTCCGCATCATCCGTGGTAAGGGCTTACTTAATGCCGTGGTCATTGACGACAAAAGGACTAACGGCTGGACTGCCTGGGATTTGTGTCTGGCGATGAGAGACAGGGGCCTTTCGGTAGGTGCCATCTATCGCCACAAAATGCTATTGAACCATCAACTTACTTTAGTCCTAGGCTAAACCGACAAAGGGCGATACAATCCGTTTCGCGCCACCATTAGTCATCACCGAGAGTGAACTCCGCAAGGGCCTTTCAATCATCAGAGAGAGCATCAAAGCGCTAAGTTAAAGATGACTCCCAATGATCACTTGGCTTCCATGGGACTTGACAATTTTGAATGGTCAAATGCAAGATTGCAAGATCGAGACTGGGATTCTGCAACCGAATTTCCTTAGTGACGTCAAACTAAACGATTTTCATTCCATCATCGAATAATTCGACTTTGTTTACCATTTGTACCTAAAACGTGTCATTATAACATCCGTTCTCAGCGCTTCGATCATGTTTTGACTTTCATGGCATTCAAGGGTCAGAGATAAAAGATTGAATTTTCAACCGACAAGTCCATCTTGCAAGATTACGCGACTCTATTTTGTTTCATATCTCATTGATATTTCCTACGTCCAGCCAGCTCTGCTGGAAATTCATCTTGGAGAAATGTGGATTGCTTAAGCCAAATAACAGCGTTGTCCAATCTGTGTGATCTTCAGGAACCACAACCTGCTTTCCCAGAAGAGCTTGTGAGATGCACGAAGTACATTCATTGTACAGCCTTTGAAAAAAATGGTCAGGACGCTCTCCGCATTTGGCCAGTATTCAGCCAGCCTTTCGAGCAGCCGTAACAAACGACTCAAGCGATTGATCGACTCTGTCGCAAGCAAGTGATGACCCTTTCCGATGGTCGTACGGATGTCATTGACCGTCTGGATACCGACAGCGGCGGCTGCTCCAACGCCAATAAAGGGACATTGTGCGATGTACCCCATAGCCGCAAGCTTCTCAAATGACATCAAGATGCCATGCGCAGAGACCGCGCATATTTCTTGACTGCTCGTATTGGTAGAAAGAGCGCGGTGGAAGTATAATAGCATGAGGTTGTAGTGTATACGTAGCAGGCATGAGAGCGAATCATCGTGGTCTGTGGATGCTGTCGAAAGACCTTGTAAGGCCCAAACTGCAAGGCGGGTAGTGATCTTGCTGACGTCGACTGGCTCCGTGCGCGCAGGGGCATTGGCTGATAAAACATCAACACCAATCAGTGCTAATTGTACCATGCGATTCAAGAAATAAGGTCTGGGATCCAAATCTGATGACACAGCCCCTGGCAGGTGAAGGTTTGTAACTTCCTCTACACTCATTAGCACTTGATCAATATCTTCAGCTCTGACGGTACATGGGCGGCCCGTCTCGAGCGCTGAAAATACATCGGAGATGAAAGCTGCCCACCAGCAACGTCTGTACATAGATGACACCCAATTAGGCAACACGGAACTCTTCCGGTGTGCACCCAAGCCGCACCCAACGCGCGCTGCTACACCTGACCAATACCACGGTCCAGAGGCTACCATATCTCCATCGCTGACATGCCATGTGAACAAGAAAGCAGCTTGGATTAGTTGGGCACGGTCAGTCTCGTGACGGAGGTGATATAACATGCTCGCGCGGCGGAATAGTACGCTCTTCACGGCATGGCGAATCTTTGGCAACCAGAGGGTGCGTACAGCTATGAGCGCCAGCAAGCAACAATGCTTAGAAAAGAAGCAACTGGGGTGGATCTTGGGGGTTTGTGTAAGACTCCATGAAGGCCGATTGTGATATGATGGGAAAACTAGGATGGACGTTGTCAAAGTATGCCTTTACCAGGGCATCTCGCACTTCTTGTGCAGGGAAGCTTGACACATCGGCAAGAGTGTCTCGCGAAAAGGGGAGAGATTCGGGTGCAGGAGTCCATTGAGGCAATGTCCTGATGGGCGGATAAGGATAGTGGCGGGCGGTTTCAGGCATCGTCATCTCAACACTTGTGTCACCGTTGGCATGCCAGCCAAAGTCATGCATTTGTGGTACAGATGTGCTCATCTCACCCAGAGACAAAGACAAGAAGTTTGCTGGCAAGCTGCGCAATGCCAGATGAAGCCGGACCAGTTGTGCGAGGTTGGAGACATTGGTGCCCGTGTATGCGACTCGAAAAGAGTCTTCTAGATCGAAGAGATTCCAATCCTGGGCAGTTATACCTTCACCAAAGAAACGAGAAAGGCAATTTCTTGCGTGTGCCAAACGGTCTTGGATTGAGTCGGCAGCGTCATCTTGCTCAATGGCGTCACGATCATTCTGATGGGACGTCAGAGTGGGAGGATTTGATGATTGCTCTTGCTGTGATGTAGGTTTGATGACCTGGGTGCCCGTTTCTTGAGTATGCTCACTGGTTACTGGTGGCGGCCCATCAACACTTGTGCTGATACGAGAAGATCCAGTCATTCAAGGAGATATCTCGTCTTGAACCGTTGCATTACGTACCGACAAGGTTTTCGTAACTTGCGGCAGACGGAGCAGGACGTGCCCGGGTGTTCAGTCAGATCGCATCAGATCTTGCGACGACGACATACATCGCATGCCTTCCGCGGTTGATGCCTCCGATAGGATACTTGAACTCGGTCCCGATTTTCATCCATCTCAAAATGGAACTAGGCGGCTGTTCTAGAAGCTGAGAATACAAAAGTGGTACAAAGTTGGGTCTGTCGGAGGTTGATAGTAAGTGTCGGGGGTTGACGGTGGGTGTCGGAGGTGCGGGTGGATGTGGATTGGTATTTGAGGCCTGTTTGGTTCCTTCTCGTTTTCCGTCCGCTATAGCACTGGCCGGATTAGGGCTCCGTCTAGAAACGGGACATAGATTTAGCGTCGTGTTTGGTAAACTGGGCGTCTGGACGCCGCTACTCAGTCGGAGCTCCGTCTTCTACCTAGACCCTTTGGCCATCATATCCAGCTAAAACCTTCGTTTACTGCCAACTCGGCGATCCAGCCCACGACGTGACCGCGAAGTGACCAGAATTTACTCAATACGAAACGGTGCCCAACCGAACAGCCTCTCCACTTTCTCTCAATCTGGATAGCAGCTGACCAGCCCCTCCTCTGACCAAACTCTAAATCCAGAAGGACTAATAGACAGAGACGGGAAACGGAGCAACGGAGCAGGCCCTTAGTTGGCTGATAAGCTGAACCCTGCTTTGGCCGACCAAGGTCTGAGGCCAAACCTCCGCACCAATCAATGCCAAGCACTCCACCTCGAATAGCGATTATTTGTCTTTGGTTGGAACTGGCTGAGGAGATAGCAAGCCAGATATCTAGTCAATTTCAAGTCAATGGAGAGCATGCGCTGAGCCATTGGAATGCATTGATATGGAAGGAATACAGAAGTTTGGTGGTGTGTAGCCGTCACTTGTAGAATGCGGCATCTCCGATGTTACTACCTCCTTCAGGAATCAATAATCCGAACGTTTTCCTTTCTGAACAACACTACTGAGCCCCCTTTGTCATATCTGATTCAAAGCATGTTTTTCGCAAGATGATTTTGAGTGCAGACCAGTTCATGTAGTGCATAGACTGGCATTCTCGTCACCAGCTTACTCTCCTTGTATGCTCTGTCGACATCCTCTTGGGAGGACTTTCTCTATGATAATACTTTTGCTTCAGATAATGTCTTAAACGGAACATAAATTCACGAGAGGCCAGATGATGAACATTAGCTGATGGTTCGTTGTGGAATGGCAGGACCTCTATTGACTATATCTACAACACGCTCTGTGACAATACAGAGCTACTTGGCAGGAACACCTCACCCCATTCGATACATGACTAAATCCGTCATTCAGCCTGCAGATATCAACAATTTCCGGTAACGATAGTTTTGAGAGAAAGGTATTCTTCGATCCCATACTTGCTAGACTCGCGGCCCAGACCCGAGTATTTGACGCCATCGAACCTATTCTTGTCAGCCATGTTTCTGCACATGTAGGGCAAGTTTTTTTCAGACTTACGGAGCAGCTGCATCCGCGATGGCACCGGTATTTATAACCACCATACCAGCCTGCAGTGCCTCCGATACTTTCTGCGCTCTGTTCATATCGTTGGTCATCATGTATGATGCAAGACCCATATCGGTATTGTTGGCAGCGGCAATTGCTTCTGAATCAGTAGAGAACTTGAAAATTGCAGCAATAGGACCGAAAGTCTCCTCTTGAGCGATGCGCATATCAGCGTTCGCATTGATGAGGACAGTTGGTTGGAAGTAATTTGGACCTACACAGTAAGTTAGCTCTTGGTGTCTCATGAAGAAGAGGGTATAGCCACGCCTTTTTCTGCGAGTGAGCCGCCACCAATAAGTACTTCTGCACCTTTGCTCACAGCATCTCGAACGTGTTCTTCACGCTTGGCGACTACCCGTGAATGGATCAGCGGACCCTGAGTTGTCGTTACATCTGAAGCTGGTCCAACTTTGAAGCCAGCAACCAATTCTTTAACTCTTTATACAAAACGGTCGTGAATTCTCTCTTGCACATACACTCTGTTTGCACACACGCAAGTCTGTCCCCAAACTTTGAACTTGCAAGCAATCAGGCTAGATGCTGCCACTTCTAGATCAGCGTCGTCCAGCACGATGAACGGCCCAGCTCAAGACTCAGTTTTTGAATGTTCTTTGCGGACTGTTGCAACGATATCTGGCCGACTCTTGTTGAACCAGGGAATGAAATCTTGCGGACAGTTGGATTTTCGCAAAGAATCCTGCCAACTGTTGACGTATTATCCAGTGCATTAACGATATTAATCACTCCTGCTGGCACACCAGCCCTCTGAGCCAGCAGGACAAGTGCAGATGCGGTGTATGGAGTCAGTCCATCAGGCTTCAGTACCGCTGTACATCCTGCAGCGAGACAAGGAGCAAGTTTGCGAGTAACCATAGCAGCCGGGAAATTCCATGGAATGATTAACCCGCAAACGCCTACAGGTTCCTTGAGAATCGATATCCTACACGAAGGGTTGCTATGTGGTGCAACATCACCATATATTCTGGCGGCCTCCTCGGCGAGCCATTCGAGGTAAGTGGATGCTAGTGAGACTTCTGCAGCCGCATCTGCTTGAGCCTTTCCGTTCTCAACAGAGATGAGACGAGCAAGGTCGTTCTTATTCTCGATAACAAGATCGAACCATCTGCGTAGAATGCGCGAGCGTTGTCGACCACTTTGGGCTTTCCAGGTGTGCAGAGCAACCTCTGCGGCTTCGATAGCTATGAGCACATCGGAATCATCTGATTCTTGACGTACGCCAATTGGTCGAAGACTTGCAAGATCTTGCGGATGTCCGCAACGCTCTGTATTCATAGAAATCAACCTCAATTTACCAGTCACTGAGAAAGTCCTATCCGATGCACCTGTTTTCCAATCACCGCCGATGAAGTTCAAGCTCACTAATAAGCTGGGATCTTCAAGGTCAAGTAGGGAAGCCATTATACTAACACAAGGGTGGACGTGTAGAGCTCAGCACCAAACCCAAGGCTTCCTATATACTGCGTTCAGTCTTTGTGTGTGTTATACAACGCGCACCGATGGACCCAAAGATGAATCCCAGTCGAACTTACACACCTCAAGGCTGTCTGGCCGGGGGCGGGAGCGCAGTGTCAATCTATCCGGTGGATGCGCCAGGAGGCTATATGCCTATAGGGATGACAATGCCCAGTGTAGACATTTTTGGGACTAAATCTGGCTTCACCAAAGAACAGCCTTGGATTTTCCAGGACATGGATACCGTTGGGTTTTACGAAGTTACCGGAGAAGAGTACGATGCTGAGATGATGCGGTTCAAATCAGGAAGCTACAAATACAAGATGGAGGCGAGCACCTTCGACTTGGCAGAACACAACGAACTATTGAAGAGCACTGCTAAAGAAGTATCTTCACTATTGAGAATCCGCGGGAAACTTCAAGACGAGATGGCGATCAAGGAGAAGAAGATTCTGCAAGAGTGGCTAGAAAGCAAAGCCGCGACCAATGTAGCCCAAGACGACATAAACACTGACGGTAAGTTGTTTTCAGCTTAGTATAGATCCACTACACTCAGTTCCCGCCGTGCATAACTGACTCTAACAACCTCAGATCCCAACACCCACATCGTCGAGCCTTCCGTAAACGCCAACGTCTGGAAAGTTCTTGTAAAGGACGGAGATGTCATACGCGCCGGACAGAAGCTGGCGATCCTTGAGGCTATGAAGATGGAGATTGATATCTGCCTAGATGCTCACATAGAAAAGGCTACCATACAGAAAGTGTTGACTCAACCCAGCGTTACGGTAGCTAGTGGGAGACCTTTGTTTGTTGTTTCAAAGTTTTAACAGCGGTAGCTTAGAGGGACATGTATATTATTCGGGCTTATCCTCTTCTTTGAGTATCATGTTAGTTGTTTAGCAAGCTTGTGTTACCTTCATATTTACGAAAACGTTGTTACCATGGTGATCCAACAGAAATCACCAGTGCTGGTTCTGGTAGCGCTAACTGCAGCTCCTGACAAAGCAAATATTGTAATTAGGGTTATGAATCTTATGTCACGAGATTTATGTATGTGGTGGGGTTGTCTAGCTTTTGACTCGTTGTATAGATCCATTCTCAACGTCCTATGTTAAGGAAATATAGTTCTATTCAATCTCTACGAGAAGACTAGATTTGACTTTGATGTCGATGCAGTAGGAAGCGTGAAAGGTTGGTTCGGAAGTTACTTTATTTCTTGAACAATGTTCTGAGCATCGCAATGCAAACAAGAGAAGTAAGGGTATCTGATGAATTAAATATGTAATTTCTAAAACGATAGTAACCATAGACCTGACATAGGCTACTCTTACTACGCATGTACTTATACAGACCTAGAAATCCTTAAGTACTCCATCCTCTCGAAAAATTAATATATACCCAACTCAAGAGAAGAGGAGGACTTACCGATTACCACGACGTCCCGGCAATGGGGGTGGTATAAGTGGGTTGCCATAGGCGTCTGTGTTGAGGGCTGCGCGGCAGTCGGGACAGTACCATTTTGCACGGCGGGAAGGTATATCGTCTTCAGTCATATTCATACAAGGAAGATGGAACCATTCCCTATCACACTGCTAGTCGTTAGCTGAGATGCCGCGACTCTGCAAAGGTAAACTTACATTGTTATCGCACGATATCATGGCTCCATAGCTGACATCGTCACAGATACAGTATTTGGGCTCATCTGGATCAATGTCGTCTGCCACTTCAACCTCCTCTTCCGTCTTTCTCTTTCTTTTGTTTTTGCTACCTTGGGCGCGCTTGACATTGGTGACGGTCTTCTGGCCATTTTCAGCAGCAGTGACTTCCCCTTTTGGGGGTGGTTTTCTTCGCGAGCTAGTGCGGGTAGGTGCAGGAAGCGAGGGGTTTACTATAAGAGAGGATGCAGGTTGGCTAAAGACACTATGACGACGAGTTTCGCGAGTGATCCTACCTTGTTCATTTGGTTTTGGTTCTTCGCTCTGGGCTTTGGGCGCGGGCAGATGTCCGCGGGCGGAACGGGGGCGCAAGGTTGGGGGCGCAGCAGTGTCTGGAGCAGGTTCCGGTACTGGTGTGGGCGTCTTTGAAGTCTTCAGAAGCTGAGGAGCATCGGGTGGGGTATGTACTTTTGGTACAAGCGATTCGCGACGAGACCTAGTCGAAGCTGCTGTTGTGGCGGCCAGAGCAGGAGCTGGCGCAGGGACAGATTCATGATCTGGAACTTGCGTGAGTGCTGGTACTGGGGACGGCGACGCTTCTGGCGTAGCTAGAGACCTTTCAGATAGCGCTGGCGATGTCCCCAGAGGCGTCAATTCGGGACTCAGCTCAGGACTTAGCTCTCGTAGTGCAGCCCTATCAGCAGCTTTTGGGGTACTTGGGCCAGCTGTTGCAGGTGGCGCCTGTACAGCATTTCCGTCGGTTGTAACATTGGCAGATTCTACAGGCTGTGCAGGAGCATTTGCCAGCGGAGAATGAGCAGCTGAGATGGAGAGATCTCGCGGTGTAGAAACAGTGGAGCCAGGAGTCGGTATCGGTGAGGAAGCGGCATTTGGTGCCGGGGCGATGAGCTGCAGTCGTGCGCGCTTTGCTTCTGGTGGTTTCGTTGCGCTGTCTTGAGTGCCTACAGATGCTTCTCGCATGACCTCAATGGAGCTATCTGTGGCAAGGGGTGGGGATGTGTCACGTTTGCGTTTGGTGGAGAGTCTGGTTATTGACTTTCTCTTCTGGCTTGATGGTGAGGTGACAGTGGAGTTGAAGTTCAATTCTTTGAGCCCATCGGCAGCCTCTTTGATCTTTTCGGACGCGCCAATGAGCTCTTGAGCATCCTGCATGGCTTTTTGGCGTTGTGACGTGCGATCGGGTCTCTTTCCATCCTCGGACGTTACAGGCTTGAGGCGAATGCTAACGGGGCCAGTCTCATCTTTTGCTTCCTCTTCGGCAGGCTCGGTGGGCGCAGGTGGGTTGGCTGGCTGCGAGGCCTGTGAAGAGAGGGTTCCCAGACCGGAGGCAGTCATGATCTGTTGCAATGTTTCGGGCTCCTCATCGAGGAAGGGTTCGCCTGTGGCCTCACACCGAGCCTTTTCTCTCTCGTAGTCGGCCTCTGTGCGGTGCTTTTTCTCGAGTTCGCGAATCATCATGGTCTGGCTGGGTGTCCACACGGCGTTCTTTTTCATTTGCTTGCGTAGGACAGCCATTTCGTACTCGGTCAGCTTCTTCCACGGCGCCCACTTGCTACCCGGCTTCGCGTCGGCTGGTGGGGGAGCAAGCTGGGCGAGGGCGTTGCTGGTAGATATTCCGGCTATGGAACTGTGTACGTTTGTGCCCAGCACACCTGCAGCACGCGCTCGACCGCCAGCTGGTCTTGAATGTCTGTCCCTGTCCTGCTTGCGCCTTCGAGGGGATGCTACATGGATAGCTGATGCGTCGTCCGAATCGCCCGAAGAGTCTGATGCATCACGGGCTCGACCGCGGCCTCGAGCAGTAGTGGTCTTGCGGTGGCGATGGCGCTGGCGCGAGTTGCTGGCGCCATGGCGGCCGGCGTCAAAGTTGAGGCGCAGATGGGCAGGACGTTCGTAGTTGCGGTATACGGGGCGGAGTGCGCTTGGAGAGACTGGCGGGGGTGTAGGATCGCGCGAGGGAGGCTGAGGTTGGGCCTGGAGCTTCCGCTTGATAACCGACGAGCGCTGGCAATGGCGGACAGTGACCTCGTATAGGCGCGAGGCCTCGGTGTATGCAAACTCGCGCTGATTAATGGCCTTTTGGAGGTGGTGGGCGATTTGCTTGCGCAGTAACACGGGATCAGGGCGGTCTTGTTCAGACAGCGTGGGCAGACGGCCATACTGGACCGTCAGTTCGTGGACCTGCTGGACGGCGTCGGCGTAGGTCGAGTCGAGGTCGGCGATGAGGGTCAGGGAGCGCACGAGATCCGAGGGGAAGAATTCGGTGTAGTCGAGAAAGTCATTGACGGTTGTCTGGGCGTCTGGATTCGGGGCGGGTTGGGCCATGTCAGGCGCATCGTCGGCTTCAGACATGGCGCATGGCGGAGAGGTCGAGTGGTGGGAGGCTGGCGACGCACGCGTCAGACCTTGCAGCCACGCGTCAACTAAGTCGTTGGTGAGAACCAGGGCGATTGTGAGGGTGCGGGATGCGGGATGCGAGGAGCGATATGCGCGGGTCGTGATGGGCTGCCGTTGCTGACCTGGTCGCAAACGTTGGAGGCGCTGGGGGTGTGTGTGTCTAGCCCGCTTTGGCCTCCACCCACGCAGATCCCTCTCACCACCGAACCCATGGGGCCTGCTCCACCCCACGCCCTCGTCCCGTCTCTCGGCAGTGTACATGTTGCTGGGTGTGTTGGCTAGATATATGTGTGTCTGTATGTTAAGCTATATACATCTCCTGGGTGAAACTGCATTCAAAAGAGGCTTGCTGCCAGCAGTCCATCACAGACACCGCTTTCTGCCCCGTCACCGCTGCACTCACCTACCTACTTCACCACACGCGTCCCCTCCCAAACTCCGCTCTGGTACAACACCACATACACAATATCGCTATGAACCATCATGCCAGCCTTCTCTTACCATACACCTTGCCATGTTTCCTCGATACACCAATATTTCCACAAGAACCGTATTGCCGCATCCGGGCTACTTTCTCGTACCTCTCTTGACTTGCTTATCCCCTGTCTTTCTCTACAGCTAGTTTTTTTCCAAGGCTGACATAGCCATCTTTTTTCGCGCTGCCTTCTGTCTTTTATTTTTCTTTTCCGACTCCCTACATAGCAAGAATATGAAGCACTCTGCTCTTCCGCCCCTGAACTAGTTTGCCAGCCTGTTGGTCGATGATTGTCGTTTGCCGTTTGCTCTTGCCCCATCCATCTGCCTAAGCGCAGCGCCCAAAACCAACCCTCCCCCACTTTCCTTCACAAACAACCTTTTTTTGCTCATACATCA